ACCACTGAACCACCACTGCCCTGGTGTGTGAGAGTGTGTGTGTGTGTGTGTGTGTGTGTGTGTGTGTGTATGTATGTGGAAATACAATTACATACACAGACAAGTCATTCAGCAAGCTTGACACAGGTGCTTGTCAGAATCTCCCAGGTCTTTGCATTATCTCCATTCCATTTACTGACCTCATCTCTAACCTTAGCCTTGGGCTGATTTTTCTCAAGTTAGCTTACCTTACTTTCCATTCTAAAATCCAAAACGTCCTGGCTTCCAGCATTCCTGGTCTCTGGTGAAGCATGACCTACCTCCCAGCTATGACTTCCACCCCCAGCCAGGCCTGGGCAGTGGTTCACTTGCCAAGCCAAGGTCAAAGTTGCACTCCTCAAAACCACTGAACCCTGATCCCTTGGCAAAAGAGATTTTTATGGTTTTAGCCACCGGAATTTTCAGGAATTAACTTCTTATCTGTTTGGAACATGGAACACAGCCCACTCTCCTCAGCTTCCTTTTCAATCTCAATAGTCTTTCATTTATTTATTTATCTGTTCATTCCAAATATACTTATAAGCTCCTACCAGGTGTCACCACCATTGGTCTATCAGTTTGTCACACAGTGGTGGCTTGCTGTTGCTATAATGCTAGAAGCTATGCCACCAGTATTTTAAACACCAGCAGGGTAACCATGGTGGACATGTTTCAGTGGCAATTACTACGACAGACTAGGAAGAAAGACCTGGTGATATGCCTCCAAAAATTAGCCAATGAAAACCCTATGGATCACAACAGAATATTGTCCCATACAGTGCTGTAAGATGAGCCCCCTACGTTGAAAAGCACTCAAAATACACACTGGCCACAACAATGAACTTCGGCATCCAGTGACAGTGGAAATGGCACAAGACTGGGCAATGTTCATTCTGTTGTACATGAGGTTGCCATGAGTTGGAGCCAACTAGACAGCAACAATCAACAACAACCATGTATCAAGCATTGTGTTAGAGTTTGGAATAGAAAACATAATGATACAGAAGATGCCCTTAAGTTGCTCACATGCTGATGGCATATGTAGAGTTCTTCCTGGCTCTCTACTCTCATCCTCTAAAGGCCCTCTGCTGTTGTTGTTGTTAGGTGTCATCCACAGCAACTCAATGTGACAGAGTAGAACTGTTCCATAGGGTGTTCTTGGCTGTAATCTTTACAGAAGCAGATTGCCAGGTCTTTCTCCCACAGAGCCACTGGGTATGTTCAAACTACCAACTTTTTGGTTAGCAGCGAAAGCTGAACCATTGTGCCACCAAGGCTCCTAAGCTGGTTGATCTCCATCCTCAGCGTACAGGATTTTCAGCCTCCCATTAAAGTCATAGTACCTTATTCCTTATGGTAGTAGGTATATTCCCTGACCACCAAATCTAAGCCAGCATATTTTCTAAATCAAGGTGGTTTTGTCTTGTCTTTCTATCTTTCTTCTTTTTTTTTTTTTAATGTAGCCAGGCAAGGTAACATGTTTATTGTGCTGTAAAGGCGTTTTTTTTTTTTTTTTTTTTCCTGTGTTTTAGGTTAAGGTTTACAAAGCAAATTAGTTTCTCATTAAACAATTAATACACGTATTGTTTTGTGACATTTGGTTGCCAACCTTGCAACATGTCAACACTCTCCCCTCTAGATCTTGGGTTCCCCATTTCCATTGGTCCAGCTTTCCTATCCCCTCCTGCCTTCTCATCCTTGCCCCTGGGCTGGTATGATCATTTTGTCTCATATACATGTTTGAGCTATGGGTATTATTGTTTGTTTTATAGGTCTGTCTAATCTTTGGCTGAAGGGTAAACCTCAGGACTGACTTTAGTACTGAGTTAAAAGGGTGTCTGGGAGCCGTACTCTCAGAGTTTCTCCAGCCTCCATCAGACCAGTAAGTCTGGTCTTTTGTTGTGAATTTGAATTTTGTTCCACATTTTTCTCCAGCCCTGTCTGGAGCCCTCTATCGTGATCCTTGTCAGAGCAGTCAGTGGTGGTAGCCAGGCACCATCTAGTTGTGCTGGACTGAAGTTGTCAAGGATTTCATTCTGCTTGGATCCACAATCAACATCCATGGAAGCAGCAGTCAAGAAATCAAAGGATGTATTGCATCGGGAAAATCTTCTGCAAAACACCTCTTTAAAGTGTTCAAAAGCAAAGATGTCACTTTAAGGACTAAGGTGCACCTGACTCAAGCCATGGTGTTTGCAATCACCTCATATGCATGCAAAAGCTGGACAATGAATAAGGAAGATCGAAGAAGAATTAATGCCTTTGAACTATAGTGTTAGTGAAGAACATTAAATATGCCATGAACTGCTAGAAGAATGAACAAATCTGTCTTGGAAGAACTACAACCAGAATGCTCCTTAGAGGCAAGGATGGTGTCATGGTTTGAATTATATCCCCCCAAAAAATGTGTGTATCAATTTGGCTGGGCCATGATTGCCAGAATTGTGTGGTTGGCCTCCATTTTGTGGTTGTGATTTTATGTTAAAGAGGATTAGGGTGGGATTTTAACACCACCTTTACCCAGGTCACATCCTTGATCCAATGTAAAGGGAGTTTGCCTGGGGTGTGGCCTGCACCACCTTTTATCTCTTAACAGATAAAAGGAAAGGGAAGCAAGCAGAGAACTGGGGACCTCAGACCATCAAGAAAGCAGTGCTGGGAGCAGAGCGCTTCCTTTGGACCGGGGTCCCTGCGCAGAGAAGTTCCTAGTTTGGGGGAACACTGATGAGAAGGCTGAGAGAGAGAAAGCCTTCCCCTGGAGCTGATGCCCTGAATTTGGACTTTTAGCCTACTTTAACTGTGAGGAAATAAACTTCTCTTTGTTAAAACCATCCACTTGTGGTATTTCTGTTATAGCAGCACTAGATGACTAAGACAGATGGCAAGACTTTGTCTCACATACTTTGGACATGTTATCAGGAGCGACAAGTCCCTGGAGAAGGACATCATGCTTGTTAAAGTACAGAGTCAGTGAAAAAGAGGAAGACCCTCAATGAGATGGGTTGACACAGTGGCTGCAACAATGGGTTCAAGCATAACAACGATTGTGAAGATGGCATAGGACCAGGCAGTGTCTCGTTGTGTTGTATATAGGGTCACTATGAGTCAGAACCAACTCCACAGCACCTAACAACAAAAACAGCATCAGAAAAGTTGAATGTACCCTTGCAAAGAATACTTCCCCCCCACAAAGTATTTCAGAGTAAGTTGCTGCCCCGGTCTCCTATCTTCTCCAAGTACGTTATCACGTACATATCCTATAAACAAGCATCTCCTATATAACCACAACATACCAGAAAAAAAAAAAAAAAAAACAACCACACTGCAACTCCAACTCATATCAGAGCCACTCCAGAGGGTTTACTGAGGAGCAGCTGGTAGATTCAAACTGCTGACCTCTTGGTTAACAGGCATAGCTCTTAACCACTGGACTACCAGAGCAGTGCGGTGGTTGGTTAATGGCTACACCTGCTAATCAAAAGTTCCATGGTTCAAACCCACCAGCCACTCCACAGGAGAAAGATCTGGCAATCTGCTAGATTACAGCCTTGGAAACCCTATCAGGCAGTTCTACACTTTCCTAAAGGGTCCCTGTGAGTTGGAATTGACTCGATGGCAAGCACAACATAGTCATCAAAATTAGGAAATTAACATTGATCAATTTCTAATCCTCAGACTCCATATAAGCTTTGTCAATTGTCCTTGAAAACAAAAAGGATTTTGTTCAAAATCATGTTTTGCATTTAATTGTTATGGAACAATTCCTTCAGACTGAAACAGTTTCTCAGTTACTGTCTGACTTTCTTAACTTTGACACTATTGAATATTACAGGCAAGTTGTTTTGAAGAACGTCCCTCCATGTGAGTTTATAATGATTAGATTCAGGTTATCTAACTTTGGCAGGAAAATACCAGAAGTGAGGCTGTGTTCTTTTCATCACCTCTCATCAGGGTGGTGAATGATTTCAATTTGTCCATTACTGGTGATATTCACTTTGATCACTCAATTAAGATGCTGTCTGCCAGGTGCTGTCTGCCAGGTTTCTCCATTGTGAGGTTATTCTTTGTCCTTTTGTTATGAATAAGTATTCTATATGGAGTTACCTAGAAACTATGTAAATATATCATTTCTCACCAAAATTTTAATTTATTCATCAATTTACTTACATGTTTATGGACTCATGGTTTCCTATTTTATTCAATAGATTGAAATCTATTACCATTATTATTTATTTTGGTGCTCATATTGTCCCTGATTTGACTAATGGGAACACCTTCAAGCTTCCGATCATTCTTTGAGAATTTCCTTGCTTTCTGGTGAAACTAAATACTTCAGGCTTATCCTGTACTTTCCCTGTCCCAGCCCTGCAATCAGGCATTATTTCAGAAAGTCCTGATTCCTTTAATTGATAGACCTAGAGAGTATGTGTATAAGGGTGTCTTTGCATGTATGTGTATATACACATTGCATCTACAGGTATTTCTAAAACCATCTACCTGTCTGTCTGTCTAACTATCTACCTATCAAAAACTATGATTTCATACAAATACTTCTAAATCCAAGCATTCTAGGTTCATTCTAGTTTTCTCCCTTTCCACATTTGTATCTCCCTTTTCCAACAGTGAGCAACCAGGCTCTCGTTAAACTGATTGATGTACTTATGTGATCAACCCCCTTATATGTAAGCAGCCTCCCCCTACCATCCTTGCCACCACTCCATCCCAACATAGATGCCCACCTCATCCCACTCAGGAACCTATAACTTCTGCCGAATTGCCCATGTGGAAGCCCTCTTCACTGCTGTTGGCTTTTATGTTACATAATATGCTCAAATGTAATTTGAATGTTTCATGTAAAGTGGCAATTGGAGTTCAATCTTCTCTTTACTTCTTAGCTCTGATTTGCTGAGTGTTTATATTTGCTGAGTTCCAACCAAGTCAGTTTCCTCATTGTTTACAGCATATTCTGTATTCATTTCTACCTCCATGCCTTTGCATATGCTTTGCACCTTGAATTGGATACCTCTGCTGATTCTTCTTTTCATAGTTAAAATTTCTATCCACACAGAGGACCCAACCACTGAAAACTTTCCACATTCCATAAGACCTACACCACACATCTTCATACTTGATGATACTCTGCTTTGCATTTTCTCTAATCATTTCAAGTGTTGCCTCCTCAATAGGAACATACATTCTTTAAAAATAGGAAGGAGGTTATTTATTTTTCCACCACAACACTACTTGACCACATATGCACCCAGCAATTATATTTGAAATGGAATAATTGAATGAGCGGTTGCAACAATTCAGGGAAAGCTGTAGAGATTAAGAAACAGTTGTGGCTGAATAACAGTTTTGGAAGCCTTAAAGATGGATTGGTAATAAATATAATTAGAAAGAAAAGATATAAAAACAATCTCTTTACTTACCATTATCAGAAAAGCAGTGTTATTTCATTAAGGGTGAATTTCACAAGTGAATTTATAGGATAATTCCCACCATAGGTTCCCTCAATAAGACCAGAATTAATTATTTCCTGTAGTCTTCTAACATTTGTTTTAGAATTAAATTAATTTTAAATTATTTAAGTATTTTAATTTTAATAATTTAAACTAATCAAGTCACAAATTAAATCAATTTTATTTGAAACAAAACAGTTCTGTTGCATTCTACCACCACCAGCTCTTACAGCACTTTTAAACTCACCAGCTATTACAACACTTTTAAACTTAAATTCTAAGAAATTATCAAGACCTTACTAAGGGAAATATCAAAATAGAATATCTAAGCTTAATTCTTGAAGATATTCTCCAGCAGGGAACTTGGATTCTTCCTTCTCAGTTTTTATTAGCTATTGTGTGGTAACAATGACATTCAGTGGTTGTATGTGCATATTGCAGTACTTAGAGAACTAAGTTTCTCCCAGGTCAAAGACGTGTATAACAAAACCAGGACTGGAAAAGTCTTCAGCTCATTACCTAGCAGCTAGAAGGGAGTATCACATGCCCAGTAGCATATGGTATTTCACAGTCCCCAAAGAAGTTAAAAGGCCGTTGGAAGCCAATGACTCCCACCAGCAATTTTCTGTATGAGGTAATGAGTTTAAAGTGGATCATCCAAGAGGCATAACAGATACTCTATAAATTCAATCCAATCTCAATCCAAATCACAGTATGTATTTTTTGATCAAAATGGACAAGCTGATTCTAAAATTTATATGGAAATGTAAAGGATCTAGAACAGTCAAAAAATATTTGACAAAAAAAGTTGGAAAACTTGTATTACCCTATTTCAGCATTTACTAATAAACTATAGTATGTCATACAGTGTAATAGCGGCATAAAAAAGAAAACTCTATTGCTGTCAAGTTGATTCTGACTCATAGCGACCCTATAGGGCAGAGAAGAACTGCACCATAGAGTTTCCAAGGAGCACCTGGTGGATTTGAACTATCAACCTTTTGGTAAATAGGTAAATAGAATGAATAGTCCAGAAATAGACCCATACTAATACAAGGTAATCCAATGGAGAAAGGAAACTTGTTTTAATAAATGGTACTGGAACAAATTGATAAGCATATGGATAAAAAAATGAATCAAAACTCCTACTTCACACCATCCACAAAAATTAATTCAAGAGGACTTCCGGCAACATGGTGCTCTAGGCAGAAGCACCACGCCATCCCTCCACAGCAAAGATCCGAAAAACTAAGCCAAACAGTGAAAACAGCAATCCTGAAACCCTAAACACCAAATGAAGAGATAAAGAACTCAGCCAAGCACCAAATGGAATAAGAAACTGACAGAGAACAGAAAGCGAGGAGACATACATGGAGAGGTCCCCTATCAGCTAATGCAGCATGGATCCGCCATCTTGGACTCCTATCAGAGACCAGCAAATAGGGGATACGAGAAAGCAGCTTCACGGACCTTCCAGCACGAGACAGAGCAACCAGTAACTGGTGATATATGCTTTCCGACCCCCCACACTTCTTCACCCCCACTTGGCCTCCTCTGCCTCCCACGGCCACAGTCTCTTGGTCGGGAAGCACCAGCTGCTTGGATTCCATCCGCCCACACTGGCCGACTCCCTGACTGCCATTTGTTGGCTGCTTGTGTTGCTTTTTTCCACTTCTTTTGATTTCTTCCTTACCTCTCACCACCTCTCCCTCCTTTTGCTCAAATACCTGGCTCCGTGTGCCATCTTTCCTTCTTCCTGAGGGGCTGTGAAGCTCCATTCGAGTATGGAACTGTTTCCCAGTCCGTGTTGCCACGCTGGTGAGATCCCAGGGCTTTTTTTGTTTGTTTGTTTTGATTTCTTTGTGTGTTTTCTTCTTCTTTTCTCAAGTTGGGAGCCCGCTCTGGCCGGGCAGTGCTGCGTGGCTTGGGACCTAACCCCTCAGCTTGTGCAGACGCACAGAGGGATACCTGAGAGCATTTTTTTCCAGTGGTTTTTTTTTTTTCTTTTCTGTTTTTTGGGGGGGTTTTCTTGTTCTTTTATTTTTTTAACTTGTTTTGTTTTGTTTTCCCTTTTTGCCTTTCTTCATTACACAGTTTCTCATCTCTCTATAACTTCCTTCTCTTCCTGTCCCCTGAAAACATAGCACTGAATACCTCTATGCCACCTAGCCAGGCTGTACTTCAACACCTGGGAACAACTTCCCCAGACCTTGCAGCCACACCAGTTGGATCCCTGGGAGCTTTGCTGCTCTTTTTTCTTTCTAATTTTTATTTATTCATACTTTTCTTTTTTTCTTCTTCTTCCCCTTTTTGTTTTTCTCCATTTCATAGTCTCTCATCTCTCCACTCCAATGGCAACCTCCCCTAGCACTCTTTTTTGTTTGTATGTTTTTGGTTCCTGTTCCTCTCTCCTCTTTCCCATACCCATCTTAGCTCCACACATCACAATCTCGCCCCTCCATCTTCCCTACCTGCACCATGTGCTTAACATAACACTACCAAGCAGCAGAGGCACAGCCTACTGGAACATACCCTGCACTGAACCGACCCGCCCTGGTGGCTGTAGTAAGTGCCACAAAAAACGCATCCCAGCCACTCCTCTTCAGCTAGACCTACCCTGCTGTATCATACCTGAGCGACTGACCCTGCCAATTGGAGAAGGAGGCAAAAAGTATTGTGCCCACAGACAAGCAAACAAAAAAGAACACACAGCATGCCTGCTCAGACATAGCCAAATTAAAAAAAAAAAAAGATGAAATAAACAAATCTAAAATCAATAAGCGAGAAAAATAACTACTGAACGCCCCAAACAGCAGACAGTATTAAAACATTTACAAAAACAGGACATGATAGTTCCAGTAGGCGTCCAAAATAAAACCCCAGATGAGTTTCCACTAGAAGAAAAGGCACTGGAACTACCTGATAGGGAATTCAAATCTCTAATACTCAGAATTACCCAAGAGTTGAAGCAAAAAGCAGACAAAAATGAGGAAAAAATAGACAAATTCATGAAAAAGGCAGATAAATTCATGGAAAATACAGACAAAAAAACGGAATAATTCAGGAAAATAATGCCGGAACAAAGGGCCAAAATAAATTCACAACTAGAAACTACACAAAAACAGCAATTAGAAATCCAAAAGATAAACAACAAGATTTCAGAGATAGTGTCATAGAAGTGCTGAGGAGCAGATCTGAAAAGGTGGAAGACAGGATCAGCGGAATTGAAGACCAACACGTGGATACAGCTCTGTTTGAGGAAAATTCGAAAAAAAGAACAAAGAAAAATAAAGAGACCCTGAGAATTATTTGAGATACAATCAAAAGCAAAAATTTTCGAGTGATCGGAGTTCCAGAACAGGGGGAGAAAACAGAAAACATAGAGAGGATCATTGAAGAACTGCTGACAGAAAACTTCCCCCAATATCGTGAAAGATGAAAAGCTGGCCATCTAAGAAGCTCAATGCACCCCATAAAGGACAGACCCCAAAAGAAAGTCACCAAGCCATTTCATAATCACACTCACCAAAACCAAAGACAAATAAAGACATCTGAGAGTAGCTCGTGAAAAACAAGAAGTCACATACAGAGGAGAAACTATATGACCAAAGCTCAGATTATTCGGCAGAAACCATGCAGACAAGAAGGCAATGGGATGATATATATAAAACCTTGAAAGAAAAAAATTGCCAGCCAAGAATAATATATCCTGCAATACTCTGGTTCAAATATGATGGTGAAATTAGGACACTTCCAGATAAACAGAAATTAAAGGAATATATAAAAATGAAACCAAACTTACAAGAATTATTAAAGGGAGTCCTTCAATCTGAGAACAAACAACTTCAGCTCAAAGGCTGAATCTAGGACGCAGGATCATACCAGCCAGATACCAATCTAGGAAATGAACT